GGCGGGGCAGGGCAGCCACACAGAACCCAGGTGTGCTCTGTCCAGAAGCGTTCTCTTCCTACAACAGATTTTAAAATGTATGTATAAGTTAGGGTTGAAAAAAAGGAACAGAGTCCCACAGCGCTCGTGGCTTTTTTATTATTTCAGGAACAGGAACTCCAAAACACAAACACAGCCCTGTGTCAAAAAAGGTGTTTCAGTTTGTCTTTGGCATTATGTCTGTGGCATTATACGGTTCAGCTATGATGTTTAAGAAACTATGAATAGGACAAATATATAACAATAGCAGAAACGTTAAAGCTTTGTCATTCAAATATTGCATAGGCACCATATGCTCTTTTGTTACATTCCTTGTTGAAGCACTAGAACCAGGAGAAAGGTAAACCCAGGAGTCCTGTGGTGATGAAACAAAGGTTCTCCCCCCACAAACATCCCATCAGGATATCTGGGACAATAACATACTTTCATTCCCATTCCTGCCTAAGTCCTTGTCCAGTTAGTAGACAAAAAAACCAAACATCTAGGCAGGGTGCTCAGCAACACCTGGAACAGGCTGCCAAAGACTCCTTTCAGCTCTAGGGAATGGATCAAGGCACTAAAGGGATGAGACTGGAAGAAGAAAGGGGAGTGCAGCTAAAAACGTGCTCCAGCCTTGTCAGAAGCCAAAGTAACTTCTGCTCTCTCACGGGCTGTCAGTGCCCGACTCAGCCTCATGGACACTAAAAGTCAAGTCAAGGACAGGAGAAGCCTTTGCTGAGCAAGTGGGATGTTACTTCTGTCAGCAAGAACCTCCACACAGGTGCACAGGGAGAGAGGTGTTTTACACAGCGCTTGCTGTGGAGCTCTAAGCAGCTCTCTTATTCTTGCCAAGCCCCAGATCAAGACCACAGAAGAGGGTTCAGGCACAGCTCAAAGAGGCAATTAGTGCAAAAGGAGTCACCCTATTCTAGAGAAATCTTTATTGTGCAATGGACCCTATCCTACCAAGACAACTCCTCTTCAGGGAGAGCAAAACCTGCCACAGAACAAAATGCTGGAAGATTTGTTGTGCCGGATGAAGAAGAGGAAGGGATGATCAGCAGTGAAATCCGGAACTATCATTGCACAGCGCATCATCATTATTGCTGCTGTGGCAGCAGCTGCTTCAGTGCCTTCTTCGTTGACTTCCACAAAGGACTTGTGAACCACTTCAGAGAGCACCAGCTCATTGCCAGATGACATTCCTGAGAAGTCTGCCTTCCCCGAGTCAAATGCATCAGGCATTCCCATGCAGCTCAGAATGGGTTTCAGATCATAATCTTCTTCCAGTTTAAATCTGGGTAAAGACACCCTCACCTCTGTAGAGTCCATCATTTCAGGATTGATCCAATCTATCAGCTTCTCATACGTAAGTTCTCTTTCCAGCTAAAGAAAAACCCCACATTTATTTAGTTACAGTGAGAAGCAAGTCAGTGTTACACAAGCAAAAGAAGTGATTACTGGGTTTGTTTACCTAGCACAGAACATGCATCTTTTTTACAGTGGTTTAGAGTGTCTCAAGCCAAAAGTGCAAGTTATACTTCTTACTACAGACTACGGCCCCAGCCAAGATCATTCCCATATGCTTGTTTTGGTAGGGACAACAGCGATTAATCCCTTCCCTGTAATGTTTACTTTTACAGAACATGTTACGATTCTTGGTGGTTTTTTACATTTTTACATATGGGAAGCAATGGCACAGGAGCTGCTGGCCAAGTCCCAAAGAAACTGAACTCAGTTCTTCTGTCTCTTAACCAGTGGTTCATCCTTCAGGTCGACAGGGAAGGAAAAAGTCTGCTCATAAGGCCCTTCACCATCAGTGACAGAAAACCTTATTAATAAACATGTCCAGATCACAAAATACTCCAAACTTGTATCCCATCTCCAACAGAAGAGATCCTACCCTCTCCTGTGAGCCTGTTGCCAGGTGCTGTGCCATGGACCATCTGCCAGCTGCTCAGAACAGAAGATCTACAGGAGAAGCCGCAGGACTTCCTAAGAGGCCACCCAAATTCCCCCTCTCCACTTATGATGCTCACCATACCACACCTTCACCATAACCACAGCTGACCTCTGCTCCTGAGGAGGGTCAGATCTTCTTCCACAGCCTCCTGCTAAGGAGGCAGCACCCAGCTTGAGCAGCAGTGACACCAGGTGGCCTAGTCACTTTGGGGGCAGGGAACTGTTGGACATTTCAGCTGGCATTGAGCATCGGTGACAGAATAGCTCTGCAACCAAACTGAGGTCTATGTGCTAGACTAGACTTTCTTCCCGGGAAGGATACAGGCTGTCCTTGCATTCAGCTCAACCACTTACTCTTTCCAAGCCCGTGGATCCATCCTGGATTGCATCAGGGAGCAGGATGATCATGCTCAGTTCATTACCGACATAGGGCAGCTCAAGGATTTTGGTCTGGAAGTCTCCAATATAGGTCATGTTAAATCTATCCTTCTTGAACATCATCTGCACAGGCTTGGTCTCCTCCTAAAAGTTAAGAGATGTCATCAGTTAGTGCTGAGCTACTGTGCTGCTCTCAAAATACAGAGCAGGCAGCCAGTTACTCAGGGCTTTTGAGAATTTGACCAAAGAGAACTAATCACACACCACAGAGTACAGACACAGAACTGTCTTCTGTACATCACTAAGATTCACTGAGATTTAATTCTTAATTACAAAGTTAGAAATCTCGGTGAAGATTCTTCTAAGGAAATATGGCAAATATGTGTCCTTGCCCTTTTCCTCCCTGAAGATCTAGTGACAAGCCCTGAACAGAGCCGCGAAGAAGCAGGGGCTCTGTTCCTCGCTCTAAATGAATAAAAGTAATTTCAATACATGGACTTTCATTTTTAGTCCATGTGGTTCCAAGTCCTACAAAAAAGAAGAATTTAAATATTTTTAAATTATACTAAAAATACCAAGGAAGTGAGAGCATTATTTTGAATTCTTACAAGTCATAAGCATAGTAAGGAGGGCAGAGATTTTCATTTTCTGCTCTCTCAGTCCATTTTCACATGGACCAACAGCTACTATTGTTTCAATCATTATTTTCCTCCTTTTCAGTCTCATTGTTGCAGTAGGTAGTATAGGGTGAGCAGTAACATTCCCTCTTGAAAAACTGGTATTAACCATTTCAAACATTCTTGGATATTTTTCAACACTGGGGGAGGGACACTTCCAAGTCTGCTGTGAGTGCTTCTGTTCTGCATAATAATTCTTTGAAGTAAATGAGTTAAGGAAGGCATGTTAGCAGTTCTTGTTCCTGACACCAGAGGCCAACCCAGAGGTGCAGGGGATCCTGAGGAGCAGCCATGGCCTGTTCATGACAGTAGTCAAGCCTTCCTCACTAGCCCTGATCTGCTTCTAAAAGCAAGACAGTATAACACGGAGGTCTTCACAGGAGATTTTTCTCCCATTTCTTTTGGATCAGTTCACTGGTAGAAATGCAGCAAAAAAACCACTGAGTGAAGAAGACCTAGATATACAAATTTCTGGATGAGTATAAGTGCTCTTTTCTGCCTAAAACCTAAAGAAAAAATATTTTTCTGATCAACTCCACTTTTAGGCTGAAATAAGCAAGTTTACTAATTCTGTGACATTCTTCATGACACTGAAATAACCCAACAACTTTGCTCAAGTGTTCTCTCCTCATCAGTTCTAAGTCCTGTCATTACGTAGAGGGGTAACTTTCTCAAACAAAGAAGGGTTAAAGGAAAAAAAAAGAGAGATAGAATGAAAGAAATACTTGTTATATTACAGTTTCTACTAATTTTGTGAAACTTTACAGAAACTCAACAAAGACAGCATCCATAGCAAAGGGAGGGGGCATAAGGAATTTCATACAGCCTAACCAAGGTCACCCTGCTTGAATGTTTTTTCTTCAGAATGCTATGGGTTCATTTCAGATTAACAGCATATTCCCATCATTTCAGCACATCATACCTTGTTAATCTGAAATGGCCTTTCTGCGGTTCTCTCTTTGTTGAACTGCTTTTCCCACTTGCCTTTGAAATAGATGGCATTCACCAACACAAGTCTGGTCAGGGAATCAAGAAGCCCCTCCGCCAACAGGTTCTGAATTTTACCTTTATGATACAGACAAACAACAGTTAAGAGTCGGACATGTATCTAATTATTATCCAGTAGACTATCGACTCTGCACTTAAGACACAAGAGAGAAGAGAATTATGTACCACACAGAGCAGGAGCTCAACAGTTGCGTTGTTTTAATTTACAACCTTATATCCTTGAAATAGCTGTTTACCCAAGCCATGGCCACCAGGAAATACAACAGGGCACTTGGCAAAGCACTCACCTTCAGTCCTTTCCTCTACCCAGCCATTGATTTGTTTTCTGGAATCCTCCCAAGCATTCATGAAGTCAGTCGCTTCCAGTCCAGCGTGGTAGGATTTCTGACTCGACTCTAGAAAGGACTAACAGGGACATGCCCAACAGATTTGCAGCAAGAGATTTGACTCTCATTCAGACACGCAGGATTCTTAAACACACCAAGAAAATCTGCCTACTTTGCTCCCCCAGCTTCACATAGAACAGTTAAAGTTCTCGCTGACATTGATAATGTTTATACAAACTATTTGAACTAGGAATTGTCCCCTGTATGGTTTCAAGTCAAATGGCTTATTTACTGTGCAACAAACCTCTATGGAACTTCACTGACAAATGAAGTGGCTGCTGTTTTCATGGGGTTTTCTTCATGGTTCAGCGAGAGAACATATGATTTTCTAAGCTACTCTCTCCATAAATTTAATTGTTACACTTCCCAGACTAATGGAAAACTTTTAGTTCAGTTGAGAAATTAATCTTTCATAGACAGGATAAATCATCCCTTCTGTCTGACTTAATATACTTATACCTTTATTACACAAAGGCAATGTTTGAGACTAGAGTCCGGGTACTTTTTATCTACTAGACAAATGAAACAATAGCACTCTTCATAAAAGAAACACTCGAAATGACACCCAGAGGAAAAAAAACAGAGCCTTACATGTTCTTGCACCTAGGGAAGCATTGAAAGAAACATGTATAACACAGTATCTATTATCCTTATTTCGATCTTCTGATAAGGAAAATCTTAAAAGTCCTCTGTTGTTCTCACAATGCTATCTGGATCACTTACCTAGGAGACAAAAAACTACAAAATACTGCCCATGCGGATGGGCAGTAACAATTCTTTTTTTTGGTCATATTTCCACACAATGAAGGAAAAAGAAATACATCAAACATGTGTCCCATAGCCAAAAGTGTTAGTGGATCACAGAAACCTAGAGATGTAGGGACTGATGGATTTTACCCTACTGTGCAACATTCAGGGTATCTGAAAGGAGATTCTCCACCAAATTCAGATACCAGGCTCTGGCATCAACTATTGCATTGCTAGTCCTCAGCTCAGAAAATTTGGAAAGCAGAGCCCAAAGCCTGCCTTTGACCTCCAAAGCAAACAGGTAGCAAGTACATTATACTAAGAAATGCCACACATTTAATGGTTACTTACTGAGAGAAACTCAAACGTCTTTTCCCCATAAAGTCGGTTTGCAGTTCTCAGGATGTATTTGGTGTTTGGATCGTTAATTTC